TAGGTAGGTAAAAGGATGGGGAATGGAAAGAATTGCTACAGAGAGGAAGGAGGAGAGAGTAGCAGAAGAAAAGAAAGGAAAGGGAACTGGCAAGTAATGTGGAGCTCTGAATGGAGTGACTTGGCCTGTCACCATTTTGTGGCATCTAACCCCCGCTCCAGCTTAATATCCTTCCTATAACTGGGCAACCAGACTGGACACCGTATTCCAGAAGAGGCCTCAACAACGTCCTGTAAAACTTCAACATGATTTCCCAACTCCTATACTCAAAGAACTGAGCAATGGAGACAAGCGTGCCAAATGCCTTTTTAACCACCCTGTCGATATGTGACACAAACTTCTAGAATTATGTACCTGCACCCCTAGGTCCCTCTGTTCTACAACTCTTCCCAAGGCCCGACCATTAATTGTATAAGCCCCCTACCCTTGTTTATTGTACCAAAATGAAATACCTCGCTTTTATCCAGATTGAACTCCATCTGCCATTTTTCAGCCCATTGGCTAATTTGATCAAGAGCCTTTATAATCTTAGAAAACTTTCTTCACTGTCTACAATGCCACCAATTTTGGTGTCATCTGCAAACTTACTGACCAGGCCTTCTATATTCTCATCCAAATCATTTATATAAATAACAAACAAAGAAAGGACCCAGAACCGATCCCTGTGGAATACTGCTGATGACAGGCCTCCAGTCCGAAAAGCAACCCTCCTGTCCCACTCTCTGTCTCCTGCCATTAAGCCAATTATTTATCCAATTGGCAAGCTCATCCTGAATCCCATGTGACCTAACTTTACTAATTAGTCTACTATGCAGAACCTTGTCAAAGGCTTTACTAAAATCCAAGTAAACGTCTGCTGCTCTGCCATCATCAGTCTTTTTGATAACTTCCTCAAAAAACTCAATCAAGTTTTTGAGACACAATTTTCCTGCACAAAACCACACTGACAATCCCTAATCAATTTTTGCCTGTCTAAATGTCCATGAATCCTATCTTTTATAATCACCTCCAACAATTTACCCTCCAAAGTCAGACTCGCAGGTCTGTGGTTCCCTGTTTTCTCCTCCTTACTGCCTTTATTAAACAAAGGCACAGCATTAGCCACACAGCATTAGCCACCCTCCAGTCATCAGATACCTCACCCGTAGTTATAGAGTTTCCTCCCTTACTGCCCAAAACATTCTGGGATACAATAGATCAGGTCTCAGAGAGTTATCCACCTTTGTATTCTCAAAGACCTCCTGAATGTCCTGTTCTGTAACGTGAACTGTTTTTTTAAAAATTCAAAATTTACTTCTCATCATTCTCTAGACTCCATTTCTGACTGTCTGTGAAGGGGGAGTGTTTAAGAAGGGATAGAGTTTAAATTGTAGGATTATAAATTAGGTATTCATATTTTTTCAGAGATAGTAGGAACTGCAGATGCTGGAGAATCCGAGACAACAAGGTGCAGGGTAATTGGCAATATTTAATCAATTCGTTCATAATACTTTCTTATTTTCTTAAGTACAGAAACCTAGCGAGTGTTTTATTTTAACCTGAGTGCATCAGTCAGACACATTGGGGACTTTGGATATTTTGATTAAATGACTTCCAATGCATTACCGCATTGAGTCGTTACAATGCATAATTGTATACACAGATTAGAATAGACTTGATGGACTAAACTTTAGTTGCTGTGATTGCTTCCCACTTAAAACAGTTCTACACATGCAGTATGACCTGTGTACTCTTGGATTTCACCAAGTGTTAGCAATCCTGCTAAAACTTGATTTCAGTATCTACACTACACCAGTAGCATGTTGAACTGGTGCTGCATTGTTGGAGACCTGTTTTTTGAATGAGACATTATAAGGCATCATAATGCGGGTACAGTTACAATGTTTAAAATACATATGGATAAGTACATGAATAGGAAAAATTTGGAGGGATATGGGCCAAGTACAAGCAGGTGGGACTAGTTTAGTTTGGGATTATGGTCAGCATGGACTGGTTGGACCAAAGGGTCTGTTTCCATGCTGTATGACTCTATGACCTTGACGCTAATTGAGATGTGTTTTCAGTTGGCTGTAAGTATCCCGTTGGCATTTTTCACAACAGAGCAGAGTTCTTTGGGGGCATCCTTGATTCAGTCAGTTTACAGTTCATCTCAGTTAAAAATTTATGGAGCCTTTTGTGCACATTAGATGCCATATATACTTGACACTTTAAAATTAATTTATTGGCTGTGAAGCACTTTGGGATTGACCCCAGAATCTTAAATCGACACTAGAAAGTGAAGTTCTTTTCTTTAAATTGGACTCCATTTACCATGTTGAAAATGGTTCGGATCTACTTGTTTTATTTTGTTGTCTAAATTTTATTACTGGTTTTATCTGCCTTGCTACAAACCTGGCTTTTTGTTTTGCTCTAGATACAGTGAGGGAGAGATAAGGTTTAACCTTATGGCAATCGTATCAGACAGGAAGATGATATATGAAAGAAAGATTAGAGACCTACAGAGACAGCTGTCGGAGGTGAGAGGTATCGAAAGATACAAAACCAATCAATATATATCTACCACTGTTCAATTTCTGGGGCTTTCATATTGTAAATTTAATTGCTTTTTTTTTGTAAATGCTTAGTAACCATACATGCAGTAAGCATTATGGTTTTGCAAATTATTTTATGAAGTAACTTCATGCACAGCTGTTATACAAACCTTAAGCTGAATAAATGTAAGAGACAGACTTTTATTTCTCACTGTACTTCAAAGGAATGTAAACCTGTTTCATACCCAATGGTTGAGTTGCTATGTGTTAATTTGGCTGTCTCTGAGAGTAGTCCGTAGCCTGAATCGACACTCCACAGACAGCAATGCTGGTGTTTTTACTTGTGTCACTAAACTTCTAAATATTTTCTTCAAACATTCAGATGACTGCATTCTAATTAAACCATCAGAACTTTGCAGGCCAAATCTTGTTCTACAGCTTGCTTCATTGTACGACTTGAAATTATTTTTTGCTGTTTACATTTCATCTCTTTGCCATTAAATCTCAGTACTCCTCTGTACTATGTTTCCTATGAATAGCATATTACTATATCATACAGTCTGTGCAAGGCCACACTTAGGACTCCACACATACCACCAGGATGATCTCATCTGTAATTATGCTATTTTTAAAGAAAAGAATACCACTTATTGCCTTGTGTTTTAAGCTTTCCTTATTTTTCTCTTTGTTTAGATTTTGCATTAATCTCTGCTATCTTCAGTATCCCTAATCTTTCGCTGATTTTCTTTCAGAGCCCATTGTGAGCATATTTGCCTTGGCTTTCAGTTGTTACTTTGTTCAATAGTTTGCATTACCTTCTGTTGTCTTTACCTTTAATAGCATGCTTTTCTGTCTTCTGCCTTTTCTGTCTTTATTGATGCAACTCCAAAAAACACAATAGTCATTGATAAAGCCTTTGGTTAATTTGCTCAATACTTATACAATCGTACAACACAAAAAGAGGCCGCTGGATTTTGAAAGATGTGCACTTTCCCTGTAGAACTGCAGCTTTTTTCATTTTCACATATATCCATTCCAGGAGGGCATAATGAATCTTATTTCCAGGAGCCCTTCAGTCAGTGAATTCTGAATCAGAACAACTAATGTAAAGCTATTTTTCTTCATCTGTTTTCTGGTTGTTTTGCCAAATAACTTAAATCAGTGTCCTCTGGTTATCCCTTGCTGGTATAAACAGTTTCCCCTGATTTGCTTTTACCAAACCCACTGATTAATTTTGAGTCCCTGCTGATCTAGAAGAACAGTTGCAATTTGTTTTAGGTTCTCTGCAACAAGAGCCTCTCAGCCCTGATATGTTGGTAAATCTCTGCCCTTCCTCTAAGGCTTGACTTGCTTCCAAAAGTTTGGGCCCAAGAATTGGATACATTATTTCAGCCAAGACTGACTTTGTATAAGTTTACAGATTTATGTGCTTTGGTATTTCATGGCCCTGTTTATAAAGCCAAGAATCCTGTATTGTTTTGAACAGCTTTATCAACATTACTTCGTCACCTTGAAAAAGTTGCTCCATACACTCTTGCTTACTGTCTTTAAAATTGCAGTGTTTAGTTCATATTGTCTTTCCTCATTCTTCACTTCATATTTCCTGTATTAAATTTCATCCCATGTATCTGCCTATATCAGCAATCTATTTCCCCTAAAAATCTGAATCTATCATTCTCACAGTTTACTACATTTTCTTCTTCTAGAAGGATCCAGTAATATTGTTTTCAGTGTTTAGAAGAGGCCTGTGAATTATAGAAAGCATATCGTTGGAATTCGTCCGTTGACTGACTTCAAACATTTCTGTATATCATGTACTTTGCTATCATTCGTTCACGGTAAGTGAGGGATGCTGGCAATATAAGATGATATCCAGTTTTCCCATCTGTAATTTAAAAATTACTCTCTTTGAGTAATTTGAGTCTCTCTTTGGAATAGTCAAGACCCATTGGTCACGATTTGGGTCTTCTGTGTCTCTAATCCTTCCCCAGCTGCTTGTTGGTGTTTCTAATGCCAGTGACACCATTAGGTGGGTGAAATGCTTAGCTCAGGGCTTTGTGACATCTAGTTTACAGGAGTCTGTTTGGCATAAACCTCTTTTGTACTGCTCCTCTTTTTGTGGCTTGGTTGGTTTAAAAAGTTGCAACTGAATCAAACAGACCAGCTGGTTCCTTGTTCAGTTCCTGTTCTGTGATTGAGTTCGTTTCAGGTCAGGTGGCAGCTGTTATATTGTAGTAGGCCACAGCACCGTTGCATTAAGTGAGGGAAAAATCAAACAAAATATTCTCAACTGAAAACATAAACATCAGATGTAAGACCGAATGCGATTCTGCTGTGGATGAGTTGCATTCATAGCCTGGACTTAAACATGAAAAATGGTCATTGACTCCAGATCTTCAGAAGTGATAAAATGGGATATTGGCCAAATACAATACTTGCTGCTCTGTCTGATTGCATTAAGCCCTGGATACACCACAAGTTGTAGATCTTCTAGTTATTCCCTTTGCCTGCTGACCAATTAACTTACTTGAGGACCAATTTCACCAGTCAGCCTAGTGGAAGAGAAAATGAATTGTCAAGGTGTACTGTTGCTTTGGGTTTGTTATCCCTTTTCTGGTTAAATTTTCAGTCCTCTTAATAGAAGTGCACATGAAATTTCTTGTGGAACTCAGCCCAACTGGCTGTTATATAAGTTTTCAACAGAATTTAACATATTGTGGAACATGAGAATTGTATTTTCTTGGGAATATATAATGCAGTGAACTTTGCACTGCAGGATATATGGCAATGGGATCTCAGTAATCCTGTGGGCCTCAATGCTTTAGAAATATAAATGTAATCAATGGCTTCCACTCTGTCTCTCTGATATTTCCAGGGAAGGTAACATTGAATTTGGTCATCTCCTATGGAGTGCAGGGTGCCACTTCAAGTTTATTGAAAAGCTCTGATGTTGATTTATTTGTGAAAGTTGGGTTTCTACATCCTAACAGTTATAATTTTACTCCCTAGATAAAATCACAGATTGCATCTACTTCACCAGCTCCTTGTTTCTCCTGGTCTTCTGTGACTTGATGTATCTTTTCCCCTCAAATCTCCCAAATTTCTGGTTCAAAACGGAAGTTGCTGGAAAAGCTCAGCAGGTCTGGCAGCATCTGTGAAGAAAAAAATCAGTTAACGTTTCGGGTCCAGTGACTGAGGAAGGTTCTGAGGAAGGGTCACCGGACCTGAAACATTAGCTCTGATCTTTTTCTTCACAGATGCTGCCAGACCTGCTCAGCTTTTCCAGCAACTTCTGTTTTTGTTCCTGATTTACCGCATCCACAATTCTTTCTGGGCCACTTTCTTCCTTCTCACTGCAGAGATTCCTAACAGTCAATGCTTTAGCTGTCTGATGATTTTAACTACAGCCTGATTTACTATACCTTCAGTTTAGTTTGGTCCTGATTAACTCAGACCCCAATTGCTTCATCCACTTGTTGACCATCTTGTTGCAATGCTAGTCTTTTCCTTGAGGCTTTCTGAGAGTGTCTCCAACTTTGAACATGTTTTTTTAATAATCATTACTTTTTTTTCATGTCTTTTGGCTTTTCCCCAAGATTACTTTTAGCTTTGCTCCAGAGACTGCTTGAAATTTGCACTTGCAGCATTATCACTTTCAAACTGGTTTTAAAATATTTTGTGTATTTGCATGTTTCCCTAGATTTCCATTCAAAAAGATCATGAATCTTGTAACATTATAACATGCTGGTAACATTACAAAAGTTCTGCCCTCAAAATTCTCACTTTCCTACTGATTGATGTTCACAATGTTCTTCTTCTTTCCATCTTCCACTTTTCATTTTGAAGTTTCTATGCTTTACATGATTTCACATATTTTCTTCCTCTCTCTAGCTACACTGATGGGTTGCCTCTAATTTTAAACAAGCAATGGGAGCTTGTAGTGAACGTGAGGAAAAGTTGTTAATTCAATGTCCTGGAATAGCAGAATGAAGCAATTGCTGACAGTGTACTAATGCGGTTTGCACTTTGGTCAACAGCATACTGTGAAATTGTTTCATTGGGAGGAAAATCAGAGAGAATGCTGAAGGAGATTATAATCCACGTTTTACCAACTTCAAACTTCAAAAAGAAGAACGAATTCAGTTCTAATTCATGGCTATATATTGTGCAGTGTTGAGTGACAGCCTCTGAGCATTTTCTTTTAAAACTTGTAGTTGGCCTTTAGGTTCCAGTGTTGCCTGAGCAACCAGTGAAATCATGCTGCACAATAATATGTATTTTCCATATTTATTTAGAATAATTTGATCCACAAATCCAGCTAAAACTATCTATGCTCCAGAGTGTAGATGTTCACTAAACTTCCACTTGTTTTTTGTTGCTTCACTATTTAAGATGGCCATTAGCTGAGAGTTGTATCCTTTTGAGTTTTGTTTTATTCTTCAGAATTGCAGTCATCTTTGTGCTGTGCATTTGGGACTCATACAGAAAAAGAGAGATCTTCATTTTTTCTTTCCATTGATGCTATTTAATATTATCTGTGAAGCCACTGAGTTGTTTATCTTTGTTAATAGTGCTATATAAATTCAAGTTGGTTTTTTATTGTCAGTTCCACACCAGCCTCACGTTACAAAGAGCAAATAATGACATCGCTGAATTTCCTTCAAACTGAGGTCCAAGAGGTGAAAGAACATTCTGCATATCCAGGTTTTTCACAAATCTGATGAGTTCAAATGTCTAATTTGACCTGAACTCTCTTACACACTTATAGGTTTTCATATTGAAGAAATTAGTTGGATTAATACACAATTCCAGTAAATAACAAAGAAAACAGTTTTCAGGGAGGCAGAACATATTTCAGAATACTGCTCCTTGCTGGCAACTGCAGACTGTCTCAAAGAGCTGGGAAACCATCTGACACTACACAACGTGAAGAACTAATCAACAGCACCAACACTTTATCGCATCTGAAAATTAAAATCTCTCCAGTTCATTGTTAACCAGTAGATCCACATTGTGTTGGACATTTTCTACCCTCTTTCTTCCTCTTGGTGATGTGATATTTTTATATTGCACCTATTTAATTGTGACATAATATACCTTCTGAATTTAAGCACTGGCTGGTCATCTCTTCCCCTGCCATTTATACAGAAGTTTGACCTGTCCCCCCTCAGAGTGGATTAACTATTTGTTATGTGACTGATCTTGAGCTAAATTTGTATTTTACAGCTCTGCACTAATATTTTGTACTGTATTACCAAATCATTTGTGTCTATTTCTGCCTTTGAGTTTTCTTCCTTTTCTGTATCCCTCTCTCAGTTGTTTCTTCAACCGTGATTTTAAAGTTATTCTATTGATGTTATTTTGCTTTAATCCCCTCTGCTCTCTTAGCTTTCAGCTGTTGTAAAACTGTTAAAACTTGGATGTTGTAGAATTTTCCTGGCACAGTCTCCACGTATTAGCTGCTGTGATAAATGTCATTTTTGTGCTGAATACTAAAATGAATAATCTAATAATTTGAATTAAATAACATAAAATACAGACCAGGATAGAATTTAGTCCTGAAAATATCTGCGTTATTAGATTATCTGAATGGAGCAACATTGAATTTAAAGGAGTTAACTGGATTCCATTATAAGATGCAATCACAAATCATGAGAACTGAGTGAGGTAGCAGTTATTTCCATGTTTTATTATTTAAATTTTCATGATTTTAGTTTATTTTCAAATTTCTTTGTACCTAGCTGATAATTGTACACTGAAAAACATAGGTTTAAAAAAAGTTGTGCAATTGATGCTTTAAAATAGGTTAGATGCTGAAAATGTACTAAGAAGGTTCTTTGTGTTTTTTCTGTGTAGGAAGAACCCATGGATACAGATCAGAGTAACAGTGTCATAAACTCAATTCAGTCAGAAGTCGCTAAATATCAAATGCTGATTGAAGAGGAAAATCAGAAATTAAAACGCTATAAGGTGAGTTTTATCAATACTGATTTTAATATAGTGCAGTAGCCTCAAGTATTTGAATAATTTGTTGTGTGTTAATAAGAAAACAAAATAAGACCATACATGTTTGGAAAGCCAGGCACAATTTCGAGGAAAGAACAAAGAACAATACAGCACAGGATCAGGCCCTGCGGCTCCCGAAGCCTGTGCTGTCACATTTGCCCTTCCATACTAAAACTATCTTAAAGGATCTGTATCCTTCTATTCCCTTCCTATTTATGTATTTATCCAGGTGTTTCTTGAACGCTGCTATTGTATCTGCTTCCACCACCACCTCTGGCAGTACGTTCCAGGCACTCGCCACTCTTTGTGTGAAAATTTACCTCGCACATCTCTTTTAAACTCCACCCCACCCCACCCCTGCACCTTGAACCTTTGCCCCCTAATAATTGACCCCTCCAACCTGGGAAAAAGCCTGATACTTTCCATTCTATCCATGCCATTCACAATCTTATAAACTTCAGGGTAGACAAAAAGGAGGCTGGAAGAACACAGCAAGCCAGGCAGCATCTGCAGGAAAGGAGCAATCAACATTTCTGATATTATCCTCCTTCAGTACAGAACTTCTATCAAGTCACCCCTCAACCTCCTGCATTCCAGTGAAAACAAATCCAACCTAACCAAGCTTTCTTCATAGCTAAGCATCCACATCCTTCTGGTAGTGTGATGAACAGAACTGTATGCAATATTCCAAGTGTGGCCTAACTACAGTTCTATAAAGCTGCAGCATAACTTGCCTATCATTATACTCCATTCCCCTTCCAATGAAGGTAAGCATGCCATAGGCCTTTTTGACTACCTTATCTACCTGCGCTGCCACTTTCAGTATCTGTGGACCTGCACACCCAGATTCCTCTGCATATCAGTACTCCTAAGGGTTCTGCCATTCACTGTATAATTTCCACCTGTACTTGACCTTCCAAAATGCATCAGCTCACATTTGTCTGGATTGAACTCCATCTGCCATTTTTCTGCCCGTACCTCCAACTGATTTATATCCTGCTGTATCCTCTGACAGTCCTCCTCATTAACCGCAACTCCACTGTATTGTCCGCAACCTACTGATTAGACCACCTACGTTTCCCTCTAAGTCATTTATATAGACCACAAACAGCAAAGGTTCCAGCACTGATCCCTTTGGGACACCACTAGTCAAACACCTCCATTCCAAAAAGCATCCTTCCGCTGCCACCCACTGTCTCCTATAACTAAGTCCGTTCTGTATCCATCTTTCCAGCTCACCTCTAATACCACATGACTTCACCTTTTGTACCAGTCTGCCATGAGGGACCTTGTCAAAGGCTTTACTGAAGTCCATGTAGCCGACATCAACCGCTTTTCCCTCCTCAATCATCTTTGTCTCCTCTTCAAAAAAAACTGTATCAAGTTAGTGAGGCATGACATCCCCCGCATGCTGTGGAAGTATGAAGCACATGTACAGTTCATTCAGATTTATTACAAAATAATATTACTTATTGGTTCAATATTACCATTAACTTCAGGAAGACTGATGCTGAAAAACCGCTAGTGTAACAACCTGGGCTTTCTGCAATTGTGGTGAAGTTGAACTGAGTGTTAAGTAGGGTCACATGTAATAATGCTTCATACTTAGTGGGCTGTGCAGTAATCAGGAGTGTGCTGCACATGAAACAGCCCTCTTACAAGGTAAGATGCTTACATGGGTTACCATGCAACAATCGTAAAGGGATTGTGCAGTGCAACAAAATGGCTTTGTACAATAAACAAAAGTTAGAGAAAACATCACGAGACAGAATCGATCCAAAAATAGGCATTATCTGCTAATGTATGCGTGGATGAGGTAAAAGCCTTGCATCCTAACAATGTCACTTACCAGGATTTGGCTCACCCTCGTCACTGAGAATGCCCAAACAGAAGCCAAAATAGGCACCTCTGTTGCCAAGCTGTAATGAATGATGAGCAATATTTGTGAAATGCTACCTGCAGATCCAGTTTCAGTGTCTTCAACTGAGAAAGCTGCTGAGTTTTAAGATGAAGGCGACCATCAATGTCCCTCAAATTCTATGTCTCTGGTTTCTATCAATCTGCCTGTGCAGACATCATCCTCTTTCTGACTGTCACCAAGTGTCAATCTTCCAACTTCATATCCTCTCCGTTTACAAAGTGCATCTAATTTCATTTTCATCACATCTTACTTCAGTCCATCTACCTTTCAAAACCTTCGGTAATGCATGTTTTATTTCCAGACTTAACAACTCCAGTATTTTCCTAGTCATCCTGCTGTGCTCCTCGTCTCCGGAATTCTGTCCTGAAATTCCTTGCATTCCTACATCTCTCTCCTAAGATCCTCTTTATTTCCGCAATCTTTAACCAAATGCTGGGATACCCAATCTAACACCTCGGCCTTTGATTCATCTCTAATTTTTTTCTGACTCGGTCTCTGCAGTGGTTTTGATGTGAAAATCTATTTAAGAATGCAAGTTTAATTATTGTGGACTAGTTTACCAAATCAGAACCAGCAACCCCCCCCCCCCCCCCTCCAGTCCTCCAAAAGTGGTATCTCCAAATAGTAACCAATTTGGCAAGTCACATGGGTGGCTGTGCTCAGTAAGTGTCACTGGATGTTCTGTATGTATATATTGTAGTATGAGCTCATTTTATTGTGTCAATCTTATCTCAGATTGAGAATGTCAGAAGAAAGCACAATTATCTGCCCTTTATCATGGAACTTTTGAAGACTCTGGCAGAGCATCAGCAGTTAATACCACTAGTAGAAAAGGCAAGTATCTCTTTATTTGAAATTCTTTCAAGAAATGTGGACATTTAGTATCTAAATTGCTTTTGTGACAGCGAACCAGCACCTTCAACAACTACTGCTTGTGGTCTTGATAGACCTACAGTGCTGGTAGGTATATTTTCATCGTCTTACTCACCAACTGTTGATATTTGATGTTGGAGATAAGGTACATGCTTCCTATCTGTGCAGTTTTATTAGCATATCAATTTCAAATATTTTAATTTTTGTAGACTTTATGGGTTCAGCTGTTATCTTGCAATGGTGTTATGTGCTTTCATTGCATGGTAGGATCTGAATCTTACACTGAGATTCTCCACTTGGTGATTGATAAAAGTTATTTAGGGAGTTTCAAAGCAGCACTGAGCTACTTTCCTGAGTGGGAGCTTAAAAAGAAAAAAAAACAAAACAGTGCTATTTTACGTATGCTCTTCCAGTTACTGTTCAAGGAGTAACACAAATGTAGTCCTGTAAGCAGGTCAGCTGCACTCCTAGGGTGGAATGTACTATTGACACTGGGCACCTTGCCTACCATCTGCAGACCTGATAAGAGACCTATACTGCCTCTTCCAAGGAAGACTGTCACAATATTCTTCTGGTAGTCAAACAGTTCCAAAAACACTGGTGCAGCCTTCCTGTGCTCTTAACTCCCAGGGGTTAGAGACTAGCTGTCAGGAGCGTCTGCACCTTGCAGCACTGTCAATACGACCTGGCTGCTGCTGGAAAAGCACCCCTGAATCCAAGGACCTGGGCGAAAGATATGTGATTTATCAGGGAATGGAGAGCTCCAAAGTTGAGGGTCATGGGAGTAAGGGGACGACGGGCATCGAAAATGAGGGCAGGGAGGTGATTCTCAGTGGGTACTCCCTGCCCTATGTCCATGTCCTCGATCAGGCATTGATTGACTTTGGTCAAGGCCCCCATCTCCACATCATTTGCCGAGCAACACTCAGTTTTTGCTACTGTGATGCGCGAATATTGGCAGGTCTGCTTGCTGCTGAATTAATCACAGTGGCAGTAGGCTGAAGCCTTCAAATGGTCATCAATTAGCTACTCGAGAGACTCAGTTGGTGAAAGGACAGGAAGGCCAACTGTTGGTCTTTCCAGCCTGTACTCGATTCTGTTTGACATGGTGACTGGGTTTAGGAGTAATGCACAAATATGAAGATCTCTGAAGAGGGAACAGAAGCAAAAAACATTGATCTGCAGAACCTCTATTGGTGTTCACCAAATTGAATCTCTAAGTCTGGTAAACTGGAACATTTTTGCAGTGAGGAGCCTACTGCTCCACTGCTTTGTAACAGTGTTTAACAAAACCAATAATAGTTAGCTTGGAATGGTGTCCTAATGAAAAAAAGGCACTGTGCACAGGAATATGAGTTATTTTAGGAAGAAACAGATACAGACTAATCCCCACCAATGGCATCATGAATGATCAGATTGCAGTCTTCTGTCTTGACGTGGAGATTTTCTTTGTGTTTCAGTTGTTTTGATCAAGTGACAATGGGCCATGCGCATGAAAATATGCAATGTGTGGATTTGTATGTTTGGGTATCTTTTGATTTTAATTTTTTTAACTGTCTAAAGTAACTTAAATGCAACTTACAATTTAGCTAATGGCTTGAAAAGTTTACAGCTTGGCTTGGCTTATGAGCACCATTGGGAGTTCCAAACGATGTGTGCAGTGCAGTGCAGTTATAACAGCGTAGCGAAGAATCACTGGTGTAATTTCCTCATGTATAATTACCAACCATACCTCGCACCATACACTTCGGACTAGACATTATTGAGCGTGTGGATATGTGGGATGGTGGATCGTTTGTAGTTTCCTCGTACATCTACCCTACCCAATTACGGAATACTGTGAAAAGATAGGAAGAAAAGGTGTTGAGTACATCTTGCTGGATTCACATGACAAAATCATCTATCTGTTTACCAACACAGGCTAAAGAAAAACAGAATGCCAAGAAAGCTCAAGAAGCCAAGTGAAACTTCCCTGTGTTAACTTTGTGACCATTTGCTGCTGATAATTCTGTTTTAAGAAGTAGAATCTGAACTATAACCAGTGGACTTTTCGTATAGTTAACGAGTGCAAAGCACTCTCATTTGTAATTATATGTCTCGTACAAGACTGTTAAATGTTCCTCATTTGCATCACGTGCATGCACTATGTACCATGTTTAATACGGAAGAGGTTTTTAAAATATATCTTTTTCTGTCCTTTAAAAGTTGCTCAAGTACTGCAACACTGTGCAACCCTAATTTCAAAAGATTTCTGTCTTGTGTTGAGTACTGACATTGTCTAGGTGCATGACAAGATAAATACTAAATAAAAATTATTTTCAAGAATTGTTTGACATAAATATTTGTTCCTCTTTCATGTATGTTTTTTTTTCCCATTCTAAAAGTAAAATTAAGCTCAGTGATTACAGGTTTGAGTTCTGTGAGCGCACCAATACCTGGAGAAAAGCAGGAGTTTGATCCTAGTGGTAGAAATTCTGTTTACTTTTTTTAAAAAGCAACAAATTGCTACCTGAGATTTTCAGGAATACGTCCATTAAATAATGATTGCCACATGGGCACCTAAGCAGCAATGAGAAGAGAAGATCTTTGACTGATATTTAATCTACCCTTCTTGTTTCTTGTGCCCTTTCTTTTCCATCTGGTAGGTGGGGTCATAGACAGCATTGCAGAAATCTAGAATTTGGACTGTTTGTTCCTCAGGATAATAGTGATTGTATTATTGAAAGAATAGATTTAAAACTGATCAAAATCTCAAATAAAGATGTGAAATTTACAGTTGTTTTGCTCATCCTTCACCCCTGGCATTTTGGGATCTCTCCATCCATCAGCCCAAAAAATTTAGTATAATTATATTTTCTTTTTCTGCTGTATGAGTTTGCCATTTTAAATTGATCAAATTCAAACTCTGTGCATGAAGACAAAATTGCATTCAAGTGGTGCCTAATAATTTAAATCTGCTTGCCATCCAGAAAAATATTATTTATCCTCCAATTTTAAAATCAGCCTCATTTTCATTTTTCCCAGTTAAGTGTTTCTTTACAATGTAACCTTCTGTCTGAGTTGAGAGTATCAGTAACTGAGTGAAGGGCAAAAAATGCTGCATGCCATTTGTCAGAGAAGACTACCTCACAGTGAATACTTACTTTTTCCAAGAATTAACATTGTTGTTCTTCAGCTGAACACCGGGAGGCACTTGTGTAGTGCAGTTTGGATTTATGCGGTCATAAAGCAGGAAGAGAATTATGTACATATATGTTAAGTTGGCATCTGATTAAAATTATAATCTCTTGAAAAATTATAATCTCTTGCTGTCAGTAGAATCTGTTAAGTTACTTTCAAACATTCTCAAAAACAATTGAGTTGGCATAATTTTAAAAGGATCACTTTTCTTGAATGATAAATACTGGTCCATGTGATCTGGTGATCCTTGATCTGGAAACAATACGGAGAGTGAGGTTGGGGGTGGCAGTGAGAGAGTTAGGAAAGAAGCTGCTGGCAGGTACACAAAAATGCTACAGGTACAAAGGAGAGCTACAAACACAAACTGTGGGGGACAAAGGCACAGATACAAACATAAACAGGGAGCAAAGACAGAGGAGCACGGAAGTGAATCACTGAGGAAGAGGTCAGTTTTTTTTTGAAGACCGAAAAGGAGAGAAGGACTATTGGTGGTAATGTGCCATCTGGTTGGTAAGATCTAAAACTTGGAGATCTGTTTGCGTAGCTTGAGAATGCTCAAGGGTTGCATGTTTCATCAAGTGGCTGAGTTGTGAACCAAGATGTTATGGTTGGCTAGTTGAAATGGAGCTCTGCTTTTGAGTGTGGCCTGAAAATGGGCCTAAGCAAATTTCTTGTTCCTTACATTAACATTAAGATTTTAAGGTATTAACCGATGTCTTGTCCCAACCCTAAACTTGAAAATCCAATGGCTTGAAGGTACTTTTGTTACTGCCAAAAATCATAATTAAGGGCTTAAAGGCTATACAGGTCAAGTAAGCACAGATGGAGTCCTTGACAAATGACAATGCCTGACTTGGTTCATGTTATCTCCTGGCTGAGGGCCTGGAGGTTGAATCATGGCCTGAGCGTCTGCTGTTGCGTAAAATTTTGGTCAAGTTTTAGAAGCCGCTTATAAAACCTGAAAGACCTAAGATTGCAAATCTTGAGTGTAAGAAGGGCATATGATTATGTTGATTTAAAAGGCAATGCCATTGTTGAGTGCTACACTTTCAAGTTGTGGATCTGTGTTCTGTTGAATTGCTCAGGGTGGTAAGTGGGGCAGAGGAGCTACAGCATCTCCCAACACTAAGGAAAACACAGACCGTATGTGATCAGGGAGCTTGGGTTGTTTGTTATAGAAATCATTGGCAGTACCATGGAGACAAGTCATGAGCTTGTGAAAAGGAACTAGAAGCACAAAAGGGGAACCCACACAAACATAATTACTTCACCAAATTGTACATTGGCAAAAAAAAAAGCTTATTACTATAGTTATCAAATAGCTGTTCAATTCAAATATGTTCTTCCGGTTGCTGATAATAGGCTGGGTACAGACTGTACTCAAAACAGTTTGTGCTTGCAAAATGTAAAACAAAACATCTGCTGTTAAATGAGATTCCCTGATTGTACAGCACTTGTTGAATAACCCCAAATGTGCTAATATCTCTCCTAAAAACAATTAAAATAATCGGTTGAGTTAATTTAAGTTTGTTAGAAGTGACATACATTTAGACACAGGGACCTGATCCCTGCACTCATGAGGAACATGTTCAATCTTTTCACCTCTTTGCATTGCACAGGAGCATGGCAAGTCTGCAGTTCCACATCAGCCATGGAAAAGACAATCAGAAATTGTTTCCAACCAGTCAACACCCTTTTCACCTATAAGTGATTGTATCTGTTTGAAATTCTGTATCTTGCATTTGTCTGAGTGCAAGATTGAAAATTTCAGCAACATATCACTCATTTAAGCAATATAAAAGTTATTCTCAAACATTTGGCATGCCTTGTTTTGTACTTGTGCTCATTTGCATGTAGCACATAAGTAAAATCAGACACAAAACTGACAAGCCATTCGTGTATTCTTTTCTGTTCTGCTTTTCAAACGGCTTTTTTTGTTGTTTTAATGATGCAATGTTCCATCTTTATTTGTAATGAAAGAAAATCGCCACCAAGTGGCAGATGCTTCAAGCATCAAGTCTTTAAGATTTAGTACAACCAGTTGTACATTATATGAATAATGCAGATATGAATATATAATGCAATATGATTAATGCAAAATAACTGCAGATGCTGTAAATCGGAAACAAAATCAGAAGTCGCTGGAAAAGCTGAGCGGGTCTGGCAGCATCTGTGAAGAAAGAAATCAGAGTTAACATTTCGGGACTCTTGGTTCTGTGTAAGGGTTACCGGACCCGAAATATTAACTCTGATTTTTCTTCGCAGATGCTGCTAGACCTGCTGAGCTTTTTCAGCAACTTCTGTTTATGTTCCAGTTGTACACTGTCTTCTGAACAAATCTTTTGAATTTGTAGGTAATATAACGGAACAATTTTTCACATGCACAATTCCCATTGAGCGATGCTAACTAGAAAAACCCTTATTAATATCCATACCTGTTTAGCATATGCAATAAATCTTTGAGACTTTCAGAGACCTTACCCAGAATTTTCAGAGCTTTAAGCACTTGTTATTCATTCGCGTTACAGAGCACCTTTTCTGAGAAGGATAGTGAAAAGTTTCTAAGCATTTAGAACAAAAACAAAAGTTGCTGGAAAAGCTCAGCAGGTCTGGCAGCATCTGTAAAGAAAAAAAACCAAGAGTTAACATTTTGGGTCCGGTGACCCTTCCTCCTAACTAATGGTAGCTGGGAAAACGTTGGTTCGTATGAAGAAAATAGGGAGGGGGATAGGGTGGGGAGTAAACAATAGGATAGAGCTCAAAGAGAGAGAAGAGCAGTTGGATAGACAAACGAGTGGAGGTTAGTTGGCTTGCCGAGCTGGTTTGTTGTTCCGCAGATGTTTCGTTACCATGCTGGGTAACATCATTAGTGCAGCCTCCGATGAAGCATCGGTGTGTTTTCCTGCCTGGTTTTTAAATTCTGGAGTCCGTTGGGCTGGATTGCCTCACTTCCGGTTTTCCTTCGTAGTGGAGTGTAAGGTTGAGTTCTATGTGTTTATTAATGGCTTTCTTCGTGGAGTGCCAGACTTCTAGGAATTCCCGTGCCTGTCTCTGCTTAGCTTGTCCCAGGATTTTGGTGTTGTCCCAGTCGAATTGGTGGTTCTCCTTATCCATGTGGATTGAGATGAGTGAGTATTGGTTGTGTCTTTTTGTAGCCAGTTGGTGTTCCTGTACCCTTGTTGTTAGTTTCCTTCCTGTTTGTCCGATGTAGTGTTTCTCACAGTCTCTGCAGGGGGTTTTATAGATGACATTGATCCTGTCCGTGGCGGGGAGTGGGTCTTTAGTTCGGGTGAGCAGTTGTCGTAGGGTTGATGTGGGCTTGTGTGCCACTCTGATGCCCAGCGGTCGTAGGAGTCTAGTGGTTAGTTCCAATGTGTTCCTGATTTAGGGTAGTGTGATGAGTGTATTGGGGCGTGTAGTATCTTCCTGATGTTTGTGTAGGCATTTTCTGACCCAGTTTTTTGGATATCCATTATCCTTGAAAACCTGGAAGAGGTAGGTATTCTTGTGGACCACTGTGTGAAGTGGACAAGCGAGTCACGGAGAGAGTGGCCCCTCCGGAAGGCAGATAAGGGTGGGGAGGGAAAAATGTCTTTGGTAGTGGGGTTAGATTGCAGATGGCAGAAGTGCCGGAGGATGATGCGTTGGATCCGGAGGTCGGTGGGGTGGTACGTGAGGACGAAGGGGATTCTGTTTTAGTTGTTGTTGCGGGGAGGGGATGTGAGGGATGAGTTGCGGGAAACGCGAGAGACGCGGTCGAGGGTGTTTTTGACCGCTGTGGAGGGAAAGTCGCAGTCCTTGAAAAACTAGGACATCTGGGATGTCCGGGAGTCCTTGAAAAACGAGGACATCACACTACCTATTGTTAGTCACTAACAGTCCCCATTAACAACTATTCACCCTCCCAGCCTGCTTGTTATCAACTCCTTTGTCTACCCAACTGCTCTTCTGTCTCTTCAAGCTCTATCCTATTGTTTACTCCCTACCCCATCCCCCTCCCTAATTTCTGCATATAAACCAACGTTTTCCCAGCTACTATCAGTTCTGAGGAAGGGTCACTGAAGCCGAAACATTAACTCCTGATTTTTTTCTTTACAAATGCTGACAGTCCTGCTGAGCTTTTCCGGCAGCTTCTGTTTTTATTCCTGATTTACAGCATCCACAGTTCTTTCAGTTTCTATGCATCTAGAATTGATTTCTGCAGAAAAACCTTCCCGAGGCAAAGGAAGAGCCAAATAACAGTGGAAAGATGGAGAACAATGGGAAATAAACAAAGGTAGCTACTCTGAGTTGGAAAAGTTGCTACACAATATTTCACTACTTTGCAAAAGAGGCTTAAATCATATTCAGAGAATTCCCACACGGTGTCTCCTGCCCTTTTTGTTGTTGTGCAGTTGGTCTACTGGCTCGATGATCAGTGTAAATTGTGGTGGGGTGGGAAGACTATACTGGGCCCAATCAACAGTTATTATCGAGCCAGGGGACCAACCATGCAGCAATGAAGAGTGCAGGAGGCCATGTCAGGAACAGCAACAGGCATACCTAAAAATGTAGTGTCAACCTGGTAAAGCTACAAAGCAGAATTCCTTACTTGACAAACAGCATAAGTAGCAAGTGATAAACAGAGCTAATTAATCTCACAATCAACTGGTTAGATCTAAGCTCAGCAGTCCTGCCACATCTAGTCCTGCATGGGGGTGAATAATTAAAACAACTAAAGGAAGAGGATCCATAAATATTCCAATCCTCAATAATGGGGAGTTTGGTGCATCAGTTCAAACGATTAAGTTGTAGCCAATCTGCAACAGAATTATTGAATGGATTGCCTCTGGAAGTCCCCAGGATCACACATGCCAGTCTGTAGCCAATTCGTATAACTCTGCGTGATTTCAAGATATTATGGAAATACTGGATACTGCAACATGTATGGGTCCTGACAATGTTCCAGCACTAGTACTAAAGACCTTACTCCAGACCTTACTGTGTCCCCAGCCAAGCTGTTCCAGTAGTTACAACACTGGCATGAATCTGCCCAACCATGTGGAAAATTGCCCACGCTCCACTAATTGGAGTCATTCACGGCACAAAAGAAGATGGTTGTGATTGTTGGAGGTCAGT